CACAAATCTGACTTCAGAATATTTAGTTTAGTTTAAACTATCACAACTCATTACAAGTCACATCACAAGTAAAGTGCAGTTGACTAAGTGTATGTGAAGCATCATAAACAGTTCATTCATTTTAGAAACCGTGTTTTAGTTTGGCATGTTTGAGATCCAGATTCAAATTTTCCACATTGAGCTTTTTAAAACATAAACAAATCTATTTGCTATTTTCCCCAAAATGTGTTTAATTTGCAATGGTTCTCAGTCATTTATGGGAATTAGTGAAGTCCAGCTATAATACCTACCTCCTAGAACACTGCCATCTTTTCTGTGTTTAGAGAGAAAACCGTGCCAACCACATGTTGGACAGGAATTATATTAGCAAGCTGACAAATCCAGGTTAACAAAAATACCATTTGGTTCAATTTTTTAGTAAGACTGCTTTTGCTTTAGATTTAAAAATTATTGAATATTTTCCTTACTATCATAGAGACAGAGTCTTCAGGACGTTGCACCTACTTCTTTACAAAGTGAGTGTAAAACTCTACCAAATCGGCATGGTGATATTTTTGCACTCTCGTTATAGTCACTTTGCACAAAGGTAATTGGCTACACGTGACAAAAGGCAGTGGAGAATCAAACCTCAAAATTACTAGATTTCAGGCTCATGTCATTAGTGTCTAAATATCATTGCTGACTATTAGCTTTTTGCCTCGTAGTCTGTAAATACAGCTTTTTCAACAAATGTTCACTTTACAGAACTCCACTGACAACTCCTTAGCAATGTCTAGCATGGCCAAAGACTAAATAGATTATAGGGAATGAAACTTCTTTTGATTCTGAATATGGATGAGGCACCTTAGCTGGGAGCAGTGTGGGCGAAGCTTACATTGTTGCTGCCCATGCTGTGTCTACCTCCTGGGGGATAAACGAGCAGTAGCTTCTGCTTTATCTAATGCTTTTGTCATTTCATGGTTAGGAAAGAGAGTCAAGTGTAACGTTCTCATCCACTTGACTGCGGGAGTTAAGTAAGTCACTTGTATGGCATGCAACAAAATAATCTTACCATGAGCTCATCTTCTCTGGTTTTGAGATTCTTTACAGCAGTCACTGTTTAAAAATCAGCATTTACTCACCATTATCGTACACTGCAGTAACTAATACATGTCCAAGCCTGATCATGTTTTCTGTGGGATGGGACTAAAGGGTAAGAATTATCCTAAAATTTCTCTTTTTCTTACACAGTCACTCACTCTTCCTGATACCTTGCAGTATGGTTTCCTTGGAACCTTAATGCTAAGGTTTGCCTAGTCGGTGTTTAAATGGTGGAGCCAACTTAATGTTGATGACAACATTTTTCCTAGTACTGAAATAAGGGGAATGTTGATTCAAACCTTGCACTGGTCTAAAAAGAAAAAAAAAATAGAGAGACAAGGTGGGTGAGGTTATATCTTCTATTGGACTAGCTTCTGTTTGGGAGAGAGACAAGCTTTCGAGCTTACACAGAGTTCTGACATGAAGAAGCTATGTAAGCTCGAAAGCTTTTCTCTCTCACCAACAGAAGCTGGTCCAATCTCACCCACCTTGTCTCTCTAATATCCTGGGACCAACACGACTGCAACACCACCACATACAATAAATATGACACTACAAAGTGGAAGAGTTATTAGAAATAATATTCCTAAAGAGACTATGGAATCAAAAGCATGAGAAATTTTCTCTTTGGGTCTTGGTGAGCATCTGTTAAAGATGAAATAGAAATATCAGAGAGACAGTGTGAATAATACTATTATTTACTCACCTTTTGTAATGATTTTTTAGATCCTCAGATGAAAACAGTTATGAAAGTCCTAAATATGATGTTTATTACAGAAGAGCCCAATTCTGCATTTTTGTCACTTTCTGTCCCCCTAATTGAAGTTAATGAGACTTTTGAATGTGGAAGGAGACCAAAATAGGGCCCCTTGAATTCTGCAAAGAAAAACTGGGAATCAACCAGGTGGCTTAAAATTTCCACCCCCGATAATTGTGAAAGTCAGAACTGTAAAGGTTTCCAGGAATCTAAGGCAAACATTGCACCAAAACCATTTCATTTACAGAATTAAGGGAATGGAAAACAATTTATCAGTGATTATATAGTTCACAGACAGGAAAACATCACCTTTGGATTGTTCTCTTAAAAGCAATGGATACATTTTAAGTTGCTCAGCAGAGCTTTGTTCAGTTGACTAGAGGCTCAGCTATCTCAGTAACGAAAGATTCCCTGGGAAAGTTCCTTTTTATAGCAGAAACTGATCTGCAGAAAAGTAAACAGCAAGTACAAGACTCTGTTCATTACCATGGTGAGAGGCATGTAGACCTGTTCTTAGAAAATGTCAGAAACTTGAATTTTTAACTGGCCCAATTGGAGCTCCTACACTCATACAAAACTGTCTGCTGAAAAATCCATATTTATCCCTTTTGATGCCACACAAGCAGTCTCTGACCACATTGCCCTGGAGCTGATTCACTGACACATTACAGACCTGAGCTTCTTTAATAATAGTGTTAATCTTTATACCTTTGTTCCCACGCCACTTTGTTTAAAAAACAGCTTTTTTCATAATGCACATCTTGACACAATTAAACATCTTTGTATATGAGCACTGGACAATGAGAAGGTAGTAAGAGAATTGTGCACTCTGCTGAATTCTGTAATTCTGCAGCTAGAGGCTCTGCTCTGGATTCCATTCAGGTTTTGCAATTGATTGCAGTGGGAGCAGGATTAGGCCTTCAAGTAGAGAGATTACACCTGTACCAGTAAAAGGCTGCTACCCCTCTGTGAGGGTAGGGGAAGACTGGGTTAATGTGGGATAAACCGAAAAAGAAGAACTTGCTACGTAAGTCAGGCCACATTTAGAGCCCTTATAAATTTTTGTAATTCTCCTACCTTTTCTTAGTTTATCTTGAATCTGATCTCTAATCTCAGTGAAGTAGAATCAGCTAAACAGTTCAGGGCAACTGATGTGGATCCAAAGTAATTACAGAGACAGTGAGTACAATACATGTGAACTCTCTGTGTAGGTATACCATTGGATTATATATATTGTATGTTCCTAAATCCACAGGGTAAATATTTACATTTCATTTACTGTAATGCCAGTAGAAGCTTGAAATATAACGTAATCCCATTGTCCAGCTATGCTGGAAGAATGCCAGGAGGTAATGTCAAAGTTCCCAGGAGTTAATGGCACATGGTTAAGACAGGTCTGCTTCATAGCCAATGGTACACAAGGGAGTGATGTGGCCAGCATCACATCCGACTGTCTTTGAATGCCCTAATCTGATGGATCAGGTACCTATTTTGCAGTTGGGTGAACTGGAGATGGCCTTTCAGAGGGAGAGGGAGCAGTACTTGAACCCGTGACCTTCAGACGAGGGCCTTAACCACTCAGCCACCACGTGGGGTTTTAATGAGGCTCTCTTAAATATCTGGGAGTACCTGGAAAATAAATTGGACAGTGCAGGTCATCACCATTTCCATAATCCCTTCCATATACTCAGGGGGCCTCCCCATTTTCAATCTGGTCCTAGCTACCGTGCTGCTGGGACTCCACCACGTCCCTCATGTGGGTGCTAGAAAGGAGGGGGATTGACATTCCATTGTAAATGTAGGAGCACTGAACTCATCAATTGTATCCAATCACCATATCCATTCCATAATGAGTACTTGCACTGGACATCTACTGCAAGGAGGCACCAGCAATTAGCTTGGCTATCTCCCCTGATCCTAGACAGGTTCCCAGATATTTACTGATGCCTTCTTCAATATCAGCCAAAAATAGATCTGTTCCCTAGTTGGATAGGTATATCCCATCCTTGATGAATATCTCAGGTATCCGGTAAAATATACCTGGCTGAGAAATTACCAGCCCTCCCCCGCCCGGGGTAAGAATTTGGCCACTTCCATGTTCACATACCTTGTAATCTTATCAACTCATGGAGGCTTCACAGCTCCCTGCCACTCCCTGCACTGAAACATGTCAGACCAAATAATGGTCACTCCCAGCTTTACATTAGTACCACTCCAGTGATTTCAGGAAAACGGCACTGGTGTAAAACTGCTTACACTCCCCTTACCAACTCCCAATTAAAATGCTTCAATATAAGACAGCAAAATAGGTAGTCTGAGTAGTTTTTTGGGGGGTGGGTTGGCAAAGGTGGAATTAGTATAATAAAAATAATTCCTGGCCACATCACTATCTATCCCTCTTGATTTCCCTTTCCTCTTCCCTCTCTCTCTCATCTGCCCTCCCTCTTGCTTTCCTACGCCTTCCTTTTTTGTTCGTTTGGGAGACATTATTACAGACCTTTTAAAAATGAGCAAAGGCAAGGGCAGAAAGAGGAGAGAAGCCGCAGCTCAGCATTATTGCAGGTTATTATTCATTTTAGGATCCACCCTGCTTTTTTTGTGGATAGACTTGAATTCTGCCATATTAGTTGGGGCCATGGAATTGCAGTCAGTTGCAGGCCTTGAGTCATTAGTGTGTGCGGGTGTGTGGGCAGCCAGATATGATACAAGACCATTTACAACATTTTTGCCGTTAACTCTTGGAGGGAGGTTTTCAAAGAGCACCTAGCGCACCAAGAATTTAGGCACATACATCCCATTGAAAGTCAATGGGCTTTGGGTGCTTTTGACAGTCTCTCCCTCAATATACCTCTGAAGATCCAAACCTGTGATCTTAATTCTGGCAACAACAAAAAACACATTGATCTCAGTGACAATTCTCTGAGTAAAGATACAAGATGGGCCACTGGTTGGCAATGTTATATTATTTGTGCATGTTTTAATATATAAAGAACGTTAATGCATATATCTATGGTAGAAACAGCAAAAGGTTTCAGGATGCTAAGCTCCCGGTGTCAGGCTTGTCCCCTGAAAAGCTTGGTATTTGTTAACCTGGTCTAAAGTTTTATGAAGTATAGGTCAATATTTTGTTATAAGAGAAAACTTATTACTTCATCTTCTACAGGTCAGATTTTCTTCAGACTGAGAAGGAGTTGTAGCGCATGAGGATCTGATACAGTAGGTAAGTTGATTTCAATTCTCTCTCATGTCTAACTTTTATTACTTTGCTGACTGGTACTGGCTAAATTGCGAATTTTACTCTTAATTACCCTAGTGCAAATACAGAGTAAAGCCATTGATTTACATGGGTGTAATTGAAAATGGAATTTTAGCCACAGTGTTTTTCAAAATCAAATTGCAGAAACAATAATATTATTAAACTTGCTTTTAGTCATTGATCATAGACACTAAGAGATCAACAGAAGAAAAATGGTTTCAGTCTAGTCTGTTGTTGAAATAAATTAAAGTAAAAATATTTTTTATGGGAAAGGATAAACCTACATCTTATCTCATGGCTGCTCAGAGGATCCACTGTAATTGATGTACTGTAATCACGCTCACAGAGTAATGACTATCCCTTCCGATACAGTAATGCCGCCGATGAGGTTAAATTACTTAACAGCACAGTTTGTCCTTTCTGCCCTTTCCTACTTACCCTGTCAGCTTATGAATCAGACAAGCTGTGCTGAAAACAATGTATCCAAGCATGTAGCCAGAAGATAAATGAGAGATTGATGTAAGGGTGGAATTTTATATTGTGCCGATCATTGAGTTCTACAATCCAGGGCAGTTGTTTAGTGCTTAGAATTTAGAGTTATAGATGTGTTTTGGCTCTTGGTCATGGAACAATGCCATGGTCAAGCTGAAATCTCCCTTAACCTGCAATATGTGTCGCTGCTTGGGTTCCAGAGTAATAGTGGAGAATAATTTGAAAGGATTAAATTTAATCATGACAATGTGGCTCTAGAAACGGTTTGTGGTATCAACCACTGTGAAAATCATTAGTGTATGGGTTGTGGTGATGAGAAGCACTCTAGTTCTCTGGCTTCCTGTGGGATTGCCTGTTATGTCACTCAAACAGATGAATTGTGGGAGAATTTATTTCCTTTGACAGAGTCTGGCAAATAAAGCTGAATTAAACTCATGGTGGAAGTTTCTTAAAACACAGTACAAAGATGGAAAAGGTAAATAGCTTTTAGTTTGGCATCTCTGCAAGTCCAGCTTAAAGTCCGTTAGTAAATTTTGTTTAGTGACATCAATGCTTGAGACCTTCAATTTGCAGAGCTATTAATTGTTTTAATTTTCATGAGTACAAAATATACATCCCTGAGACAAATCACATGGTTGTTTATTTACAATATGTGTATTTGTATATATAAAATTGTTATAGTAGCGATTAGAGTGAAGGTAGAGAAAAATGTGATTGCTTTCTGTACAGGACTAAACTTGAGGACAAATCTATGGAATTGCACTCACAGTACTTCAAAAAAAATTCTTGTGCATTTGCATGGACTTAATCCCTCCATCACATACAGGAAACATTTTAGTTCCTTTGTTCCTGCACAATAATTAAGTCTGTTTCTCCTTGCATTTTCCATGCATGTTGATCTGGGCACCCACCACATATGATTTGAACTACATTTGTTCTAAAAATGTCAGTATATTTCTGTTGCGTTCAAGGAACAATCTAGACACCAATTACTTGGTAGCTAAAATGATACCTGTAAATCTCTATCAATATTAAACAAAATAGACCAGATTTTGCCCTGATGTACACCCCATACAACCACAGTGAGGTCAGTTCAACCAACTGGTATTATTCAATGGAATTGTTTGGATTGTAAATTGCTGGAGAACATTTGTAACCTAGTTGATAAGGTGCCTGTTTTTGATTTCAAAGACACTGAATTCAAAGCCTCCTGGGATTTTCATAGTAAGCCTTTGTGTTAATTATGTCCATCAGTGTGTTTCCCCCTTAACTTGGCGCTTTTTTTTTTTGTACGTGTGAAATATCTTGAATTAAATTATATACAATTACAAACTGCGGCCTGACCTTGCATTCCTTCAATAGGAGATATGCACATATATATGTACAAATGTGCTGTGGGACTGAGCCCCGTACATTAAAGGCAGATGTGCTCTACAGACATGCTGTATCAGAAGAGTGATCTTCAAAACATCAGATTGAATTGATAACTGACATCTCTCCGTTTCTACATTGCTTCTAATAATGTGGAATTAGTGATAATCCTAATTCCAGAAAATGCCCTCTGCAGGGTCTTAGAAAGTCAGGGAGAGAGAAAGTGGTGGCCTACAGAAGAGGGACTGACCCCCTATGCACAAGAGATGAGATCTATTAGTGGAGAGGACCTTCCATGTATGTATCTTCAGAGCAGGTTTTGGCCCATCATTGTTATTTATCTGTAATATAAAGAATACATTGGTACTTTATGGACAGATACTTGCTTTGAAGATCATAGAATCTAGGGGCCTGATCCTGCTCACACTGATGTCAGGGACCAAAGTCCCATTTACTTTAATTGGAAGACACTCAGTCCTAGGTAGGCCATGCTCAAATGCCAGGCCAGGAGGGGAACTGGAAGGAACAGCAAGCAATGTGGATGTAACAGTGATGTGTTAGTTCCATAATCATTGTTTGGATTTTATATTTTGAATATTTCATTTATTTTTAAAAATAGGGGAATGGATGGGAATATCAGTGGCTTGGTCTCAATGGGGAGAGGGCTCTAGGGTCTTTTGGAAATATAATAAGGAGGCATGGCAGACTTGGTCAGAGAAGGGATTTCCAGAAAGCATTTCTCATATGGAAAAATGTATAGAGCTGAGAGGGAGAGGAATAATCAATTTGGATTGAAGAAACCAGTTACGCGTGGGGTTAAAATAAGGGAAAGTCAGGGGAATGCAGCTAAAAGCAGAGGGCAATTCTCCTTCCTCTCAGCACCGCTTATACCGCTACTGCCTCCTTGGCTGGTGTGATGATTAGCTCCCCCTCGTTTCATTCTACTTTAACCACTGGGCAAGTGGCTTGCATGGAACGAAGGGGACAAGAAGAGCAGAAGGGGCTGAGTTTAGAGAAGTGGACAGGAGCCAGGTTTATTCAGGCCCTTGAAGAGGATAGGACAAGGAACACGAATTTCATGCCAAGGTGGTGGAGAGAATTGTCAAACCTTGCCAAGGTGCTGGAAAACAAAGCAGTTTCCTGATGTGTGTTTTAAAGTGAAGAACCAGCATCCAGATGTTAAGAGCATTAGAGATACTGAACAAGTTAAACTGTGTTATTGACGCTGACGCACAGGTGCAGTTTCCAGTGATGTTCAAAATCTGATCCATTGGGGAGCATGATAACCCAAACACCATGAAAGTCAATGGCACTTTGCTTTAAATGTATATAATGTAGTAGAACATCCTTCTTAGTCCTGTGGTTGCTTATTTTAGAAATTGACACTGAAAAGAAGCTCCCCTAAGGCATATTCTGCTGGACCTTGTTTTCATTTACCTATAATCTTTCAAATGCTAGTGGGTTTGTTCTTCGTTTAGCAATGATTTATCCAGAATAACTGTGAACACTTGAATGTATATAGAAATAGGGAGGTTTTAGCCTTAATTTTGCTTCTTTGGTTTTATTCCTTCTTATATCACTTTGATGTTGCTTATACAGTGGCTATCCCAATTACTAATCACCAGTGTCACTGTTGCAGTTCAGATCCTGTGCCATGAGTATTGTTCCTGATAGAGCTGAACTGGTGAATTAAAGAAAACCAAAACAAACAATAGTGAGGACAAAGCCTCTGAAAATGAAGCCATTTGTGTTCAGTTACTGATGTTTTGTTCCTGTCACTGGGATGCTGTAATATGGGGTCAAGTATCAGGGGGTAGCCGTGTTAGTCTGTATCTACAAAAACAGCAAGGAGTCTGGTGCCACCAGACTCCTTGTTGTTTTTGTAATATGGGATGACTGAATAAAATGTCAGTAAAATTAACAACCTGGCATATGTGCAGTAAATATCGAAGATTGGATGTTCTGTTTTATTTTGGTTTTTTCGTTAATGATGCACTGCCAAATATATCATTATTTTTCTTCCTGGTTTTATAGCAGCCACACTTTTTAATGTTTAATAGTTCCTAAAATACTCTAACCTATTAGTTAAATTGAGCATTCTCCCCAGGTCATCACTTCACAATGTTATGTTTGTTTATGTAACCCTTCTGCTGTGGGGGGTCGGCAGCAACAAGGGTCAGATTCAACATCTAGGGGATCCTCTTAACGGTACAACACAACTGGTTTGAGTCTCCACCCAGTAATCTGGGAAAATAAACACTACCCCTGGGTGTCTCTAAGAGGCAATACTTTCCCTCTCACAAGCACTGAGTTGGTGTACAGCAAAGACAGCCTTTAATAAAAAGGGAAAAGGAACCCAGCATTATTTTGGGGAAACTCCACATCCATGATTTGAAAGTGTGTAACTATGAGCAAACACCCACCCCTGAGTACGCTGGGCAGTGCCCTTTGCCTCAGGTTCTCACCTTATGGTGTGAAAGTCTGACAACAAATATTCCTTTAACACATCACTCCCCTCTCCCTCCACTGCACCCCACTCTCAGTTGGTTGTCCTGAGTCAGCAAAGACCCAGAGTTCAGAGGTGGAGTCACCTGGATCCACCTCCCACACCTGAAAACGGGGGGAGGGCATCAAGCAATGCTACTGCTGCCTCTGGTCACTGCCACCTCTGCCACAATTCTCTCTGCTGCTATCACTGCCACTTCTGCAATGCCACATTCTGAGGTTCCCCCACTTAGTCCAGCTCTGAGTGTTTTCTCTGGATAGCAGGGAATGTCTGGGCTACTGCCTCTTTGTTGTCTTTCACTGCAACATCGTCCCCATTCCAGGGCTAGGGCTTAGCCCCTAGACCTGCTCGTCAATCACTGACCAGAAACAACTCCCACCTGAATACAACCGGCTCTGTCTTTAAACACTGGAGAGGGGAGGGTCAAATGGTGTCTAGGACTCTTTAGGCAGAGTCCACACCACCAGGTGGGAACACTGTCCCCCGCCCCCTCTCATCTTCCATGGGATTTGGCCTCTGGTTAGCAAGTGAGGCTCAGTTTAGGGTGACCCCCTTAATCAGGGCATTAAGTACAGTTCTGCTGCTTTTCACTCAT